GATCAGGTCGGTTATACACCCCGGTTTTAGATCAAGTAGGTTATACACCCCGTAAAAAAAAAGATTAACACTTAAATAATTTGATATAAGACATAAATTTATCTGACAAAAGACGTTCTTTAAACATGAATTCTAGCAAAAAATTCTCTGCTCCAACGCAAAACCCTTTATCGCCTTAATATCTAACTTTAATTGATTGTTATATGATTCTAGATGTTTTGTATGAGTTCCATCTGCCAGATTGATAAAATTATATTTATGGCAAACAGTTCTATGCTCAAAATTTTGTTTCCTACCCAATAATGCATAAGCAGCTCATTCATCTGAGCAAATAATACTACCTGGTACTACTACATTAGAAATTATATTAATTAAAGTATCGGAGGAACGATCAGAAACAATGCAGCAAAATCCCAACGCCGGGCGATTTGACGTATCAACAATGCAGAATACCCAATAGGGCGGAACTGACCTGCCTGTGTGATTTTTTACATTATGATTAATTTTTGTTTCATCTACTCGTATTACGACACCAGGGCCTCTTAACTTAATAGGATTATTTAAAAAATGTTGCTCTATTTTGCTATAAATCAATTTTCGGATATTTATTAAGGCGTCTTTTGATATATTAGTTAAAAGCAATATTTTACAGTTTTGTAATCCAATAGATAGATAATAAATTACAACCAAAATGAAACGCAATTCGGTTTTAAAATTTGTAGACACGTATTATATTCTAAACTGAGTGTTGTCTGATACTTAAGACATCTCCATTCAAATTTATCAGCTTTTTTTTGATTTTTTTAATTTCATAAATTGCTCACAATGAAGGCAAGACTGCTAAATATCTAAAATTCTAACCAAGGCCATAGAAATAAGCTCGAAATTATCCGCAATAAAATCCTATTTAGATGCTTTTTTTCTTCTGCCATTAAGGGTTAAAAAATAAAAAAAAAATATCAGGTCGGTTATACATCTCGCCGGGATGTATAACCGACCTGTTCCCTTTTATTAAGCACGGAAGCGTGTTAAACACCAATGGCCATGCTTCTTATCCCGCTGTTTCAAAAGGCCAAATCTAAGTCATCATATCGTTAATCATTCGGCTAGATTTAAATCACAAGGCAAAATTCATATTAAAACGTAGAGCTTTTGAGGGTCATATGAAAAGCACAATGCAGAAGAAAAATGGCGTTCATAGGGACCAAATTGATAATTGAATTGTTCAATATACATTTAAAATGAGATTTATCATGGGCAATAATATTAGTGAGTTTGCTGAGTTTTATAAAAAAATTTAAAAATCTTTTTTCAATAAAATGTTAATATTTATTTTTTACCCCTTATTTTTTAGAAAAAAAATGTAAGGGAATTCTAAAGAAAACCCTTTAAATTAGTATTTTATGTAAGCAGATTACTAAATTTTATCTTTTTTGTTTCTTTTTTAATTAGTTTTATGTCTTTAAGTTATCATAAGATTATATTTTTTTTTACATCTGCCCCTTTTATGCCATTTAAAATAAACAAAAACAAAAATTTGTCAATAAATTTGCATGAAGCTGTTAATAATTTACAAGAAGATGTACATTCACTCGAAAAGACAATATCTTATTACGAAAAACATTTAGAATATTTAGACATGGA